AGAATCCTGAAAAATAAAACGTATCAGTTTCCACATAAATATGAAGCTGTTTTCAACACTGATAATCATAAATGTGTCTTGATCATCAGATCATCATATTAGAGTGATTTCTGGAGGATCATGTGACACTGAAGACTGGAGTAATGATGCTGAAAATACAGCTTTGATCACAGGAATAAATTACACTTTACTATATATCAGTGGCGTAGGTTTGATTTTAGAATTGGTGGGGACGGGGACATCAATATATAACTATATTTTAAGTTTTGATCGAAATTATTGCTAGGGATATATCAGTGTCACTGGATATTGGTAGGGACACGTCCCTAGCGTCCCTACTAAATTCTACGCCCCTGCTGTATATTCACACAGAGAACAGCTGATTTACACTGGAGTAATATCACACTGTTTTACTGTATTTGTGATCAATGAGCAGAAACTCTTTCAGAAACAATAAAACATTGTTGATTTAAAGGTCTAAAGCTGATGTCGAGAGTCTCTGGGTGTGATGAAGGGCCGGAGAAGCGAAGAGCACAATCCCACAATCCACTGTGTCGGGAACACTGATCACGGCTGCGTTTCCCAGAAGCCTCGTGAGTAGAGCCGAAACCGCTAGCTAGCGACTAGCGACGCTGTTGGGAAAGGCGGCCCCTGATTGGCTGATTGGTTGTCATGGCAACAACTGCGATGACGTGGCAGGTTAGTAACAGGAAGTGATGTTGAGCGCACAGACTCATGCAGGTCTCATGCACACACACACACACACACGCCGAGCGTCACGTCAACACTAATGAGTGTGTGAGATCGTCATGAGACACAAACAATCTGAGAATGCAAGAATGATTTATTCTGGGTATGAATGTCATCTTCACATCCACAGTCTCACGCGCACGGCCTGAGGAATCACACAGAAACACACACCGTCACAACACACACACACACACACACACACACACACACACACCTGATGCGTTTCAGCTCAAATATCTAACAATCCAGAAACAAAAGACACAACAGTCAGGCTAGCTCAGTGTGTGTGTGTGTGTGTTAGACAGAGCTCAGTGTGTGTGTGTGTGTGTGTGTTAGACATAGCTCAGTGTGTGTGTTAGACATTGCTCAGTGTGTGTGTGTGCTAGACAGAGCTCAGTGTGTGTGTGTGTGTTAGACAGAGCTCAGTGTGTGTGTGTGTTAGACATAGCTCAGTGTGTGTGTTAGACATTGCTCAGTGTGTGTGTGTGTTAGACAGAGCTCAGTGTGTGTGTGTGTTAGACAGAGCTCAGTGTGTGTGTGTGTTAGACATAGCTCAGTGTGTGTGTGTAGACATAGCTCAGTGTGTGTGTGTGCTAGACATAGCTCAGTGTGTGTGTGTGCTAGACATAGCTCAGTGTGTGTGTGTGTTAGACATAGCTCAGTGTGTGTGTGTTAGACATTGCTCAGTGTTGTGTGTGTGTTAGACATAGCTCAGTGTGTGTGTTGTGCTAGACATAGCTCAGTGTGTGTGTGTGTTAGACATAGCTCAGTGTGTGTGTGTGTGTTAGACATAGCTCAGTGTGTGTGTGTGCTAGACATAGCTCAGTGTGTGTGTGTGTTAGACATTGTTCAGTGTGTGTGTGTGTTAGACATAGCTCAGTGTGTGTGTGTGCTAGACATAGCTCAGTGTGTGTGTGTGCTAGACATAGCTCAGTGTGTGTGTGTGTTAGACATAGCTCAGTGTGTGTGTGTGTTAGACATTGCTCAGTGTGTGTGTGTGTGTTAGACATAGCTCAGTGTGTGTGTGTGCTAGACATAGCTCAGTGTGTGTGTGTGTTAGACATAGCTCAGTGTGTGTGTGTTAGACATTGCTCAGTGTGTGTGTGTGCTAGACATAGCTCAGTGTGTGTGTGTGTTAGACATAGCTCAGTGTGTGTGTGTGTTAGACATTGCTCAGTGTGTGTGTGTGTTAGACATAGCTCAGTGTGTGTGTGTGCTAGACATAGCTCAGTGTGTGTGTGTGTTAGACATAGCTCAGTGTGTGTGTGTGTTAGACAGAGCTCAGTGTGTGTGTGTGTGTGTGTTAGACATAGCTCAGTGTGTGTGTTAGACATTGCTCAGTGTGTGTGTGTGTTAGACATAGCTCAGTGTGTGTGTGTGTTAGACATAGCTCAGTGTGTGTGTGTGTTAGACATAGCTCAGTGTGTGTGTGTGCTAGACATAGCTCAGTGTGTGTGTGTGCTAGACATAGCTCAGTGTGTGTGTGTGTTAGACATAGCTCAGTGTGTGTGTGTGCTAGACATAGCTCAGTGTGTGTGTGTGTTAGACATAGCTCAGTGTGTGTGTGTGCTAGACATAGCTCAGTGTGTGTGTGTGTTAGACATAGCTCAGTGTGTGTGTGTGCTAGACATAGCTCAGTGTGTGTGTGTGTTAGACAGAGCTCAGTGTGTGTGTGTGTGTGTGTTAGACATAGCTCAGTGTGTGTGTGTGTTAGACATAGCTCAGTGTGTGTGTGTGCTAGACATAGCTCAGTGTGTGTGTGTGTTAGACAGAGCTCAGTGTGTGTGTGTGTGTGTGTTAGACATAGCTCAGTGTGTGTGTGTGTTAGACATAGCTCAGTGTGTGTGTGTGCTAGACATAGCTCAGTGTGTGTGTGTGTTAGACAGAGCTCAGTGTGTGTGTGTGTGTGTGTTAGACATAGCTCAGTGTGTGTGTGTGTTAGACATAGCTCAGTGTGTGTGTGTGCTAGACATAGCTCAGTGTGTGTGTGTGTGTTAGACATAGCTCAGTGTGTGTGTGTGCTAGACATAGCTCAGTGTGTGTGTGTGTTAGACATAGCTCAGTGTGTGTGTGTGTTAGACATAGCTCAGTGTGTGTGTGTGTGTTAGACATAGCTCAGTGTGTGTGTGTGTGTTAGACATAGCTCAGTGTGTGTGTGTGTGTTAGACATAGCTCAGTGTGTGTGTGTGTGTGTTAGACAGAGCTCAGTGTGTGTGTGTGTGTGTGTGTTAGACATAGCTCAGTGTGTGTGTGTTAGACATAGCTCAGTGTGTGTGTGTGTGTTAGACATAGCTCAGTGTGTGTGTGTGTTAGACATAGCTCAGTGTGTGTGTGTGTTAGACATAGCTCAGTGTGTGTGTGAGACTCTTCCGCATGTTCCAGCTTGTGTTAAACACACACACACTCAGAGCGAGTCACGGCGAGTCCGCGTTTGAGAGCTTTAGTGGCGTGTTCACAGCTTCATGTCAGTATGATTATGATTATTATATCATTCCACACACTAGCTGGTGTTAATGACCGAACGCATGAGGCTTCACATGCAGGATATGACATCAGACAGCACATCATGTGACTGAACCGCACGAGGACACGAGCAGGTCACATGTCATCCCGAAGTCACAACAATAACACAGAGCTTGCTGACCTCGGGTCATGTGACCTGGCCGTGTTCTGGTGAGGATGTGTGTGTTTCAGAGATGCTCACACACACGTTCATACACAAACACAAGCATGTTAAATCAGCACAAACATGCCAGGACACACAATCAGCTCCTAGACCCTGAGAAGAGCAGTCGCTCGGCAGGATCACACACACGCGGGAGATCCTCTTCCTCCTCCTCCTCTTCCTCAGTGTCTCGCTGACATCTAAACATCAGGAGTCATTACTGGAGAAGAGCAACGACTGAACATATTAAGTCTTGTTTAATGAGAAATGCATCAAAAAGAAATGCATCAAAATTAAATGTTTAAAGTCCCCCTGTGGTGAAACTCCAGCGTTTAATGTTGTTTATGTGTCTATGTGGTGTTTAATCTGCTTTAAGACACACGTGTGTAAGTTCATAAGTCGACAGCATTGCTGAGTATTTCCTCCTTAAAACTGCAGTGAACCAAAGACAGTCTCAAAAACACGGTTTGAAATCGCTGGTGTTTCTGACGTCACAAACGACCTTGTAACCAATCAGATCAACGTGTGATCATCAACCAGTGGATCTCTGAGCTGAGGGAGTGAGTGGAGGCGGGGCTCATCTGCATATTCGTAGAACCGCGCATTCTAAATGAGGCGAGGGTGTCGGGTTACATTCAAGATATTTTAAGGCATGAAGACTTATTTTTCAAGGAAAAATGTTTAAATATGTAATTTTGGTGATCAGAGGTGAGTTTGACCAAGCGGCACCTTCCCCTCTCTCTCTCTCTCTCTCTCTCTCTCTCTCTCTCTCTCTCTCAACACTGAGTGAGTTAAACTGCAGTTCCTCCACTGGCCACTAGAGGCCGGCTGCAGAAGAGACTCAGTCCCATAGACCCGCATGTTAAAATGCCCAACTTTACAGCAGAAATAAACATGATCACAGTCTGGTGCAAAAAGTGGTTTGGTCTATATCGCTAATGTTGCTCTTCATGACGACTGTGAGGGGGTGAATGTTTTTATAACTCATCCGTTTAAATTATATTAAGCCTTAAAGTTGTGCATAATTAAGGGCGTGGCCACTTGAGTGACAGGTGGATTGCCGCTGATGTCACTGCTAGCCGTTTGTCTGCTGTGTGTTAGCGTCACGTGACCTCAGCTAATCCGCCTCCCTGCACATTCGTTTATCCGGGAGTGACGCGCAAACAAGATGGCGACGGCCGGCTCCGCCCACTGTGGGCTTCAAAAACGCTCTTCAGAAACACTACGGGTGACATCACACACACTGCGCACATATTCTTTTACAGTCTATGGTTATAAGGGTAAAATGATTGACTACGGGGGGACTTTAAAATAAGAACAAATATATATCAACGGAGTCAGAAAAAGACTCTTAATTCAAAGGGAAACTGTGAAGTTTATTTCTCCGTTGGCAGAGATTTGTTCTTGTTTGAAGCACAAACTCCCTTCATTTTAATGCCAGACTTGATATCTTCAGTCGTGTTCAGTGGAAATGCCTCTTGATTTAAGGATGTTTGTGACTGGAGGAGGAAGCTGATGCTCTGCTGATGTCATCGCCCTGCCGAGCGCTGCGCTGTGATTGGTTGGTTGGTGGATGTGTACTCAC